CTGTATTTTGGACAGGTATCTGGAGAGCACTCCAAAGGTCCTGAGTCAGTCATGGCTTTTGTTAACAGCAAAAGGTTAGAAGGAGGAAATAAAAGAGATTTAGAGGATATTCTTAGCTCAGAAGACTCTGAGCCAGGTTTTATCACATGGATTTTAAATCATTATTCTGGTTTTTGTTAGAGCTAAACAAGACTGTGCATGACTAGGTCTCATTAACTCATGCACAGACTGCCTGGGAAGCATTACACTGAATTTTGCCCAAACAGTGTTTTATCTAATCTGGCCTTCCAACCATGAGAATCTTCCTAGAAATATACCAATGATTTATGTAAGTCCTGAGGACCTTTTAATAGCTGTGTGTGAGCTGCACAGATTATTAAAGTGTGTAAGGAATGTAAGCTGATTGTCTTCTTGGCTGTAAAAGCCACAGGGTCACTCAGTGCTTGCAGCCCCTCACTTTGGCTTTGGTCCTGCTGTCACATCCCTCCTTTTTTTCCCTGTTGGACTTCAGGCCAAAATAAGTTTTCATTTCCAGAGGGAATTCCTAGAGGGAAATACTGAGATGCATTGTAAGGCTGACAGAGGCTCTTCTGAAAACACCAGTTGCAGGGTTAATCCATGGTATCCTTCACTGGAATCCAGTGATAAAAGAGAATCCCAGAATCACTGAGGTTGGAAAAGACCTCCAAGGTCATTGAGTGCAAGCTGTGCCCCATTCCCACCTTGTTCCCAGCCCAGAGCACTGAGTGCCATATCCAGGCCTTCCTTGGACACCTCCAGAGATGGGGATTCCACCACCAGAGTGCTTCATAGCAGAGCTTACATTCTGAATATATGCATCTGCACATTATTACAGTGCAAAAAGCAAATGTCTGTCCTTGGACACCGAGTTTGAAAGGAAAACATGCAAATATTGCCATGCAGAGGGAGAAAATTGCTCAGGTGTTGGACCTGCTGTCCCACCAGGCAGTGCACACCGCCCCTTACAAGGTTCACAAATGGTACCTGAAATATTTGACAATGCTGTTGCATGATTTTAAATCTTTCTTTCACAATTTTGTAGATCCATATCAGATTCTTGGACCGACCAGCAGCCGACTTGCAAATCCAGGTGAGAAGGGATTTTGCTGATTTAGGAGGCTTTCCTCTCTTTCACTTCAGCTGTAAGACCAGACCTGGAAGGGGATGTCCCTGATTTTCCCACTCCTCAGGGGGAGCTGATGATACCCCAGTGTGTTGCAGAATTTCTGAATTACACAAGGGTGGGACTGAGGAATTTAGAATCAATAAGGTTGGAAAGGACCTCCAAAGAGTCCAACCTTTGAAGCTGGAGTTCACTTCAGTTTCCTGAACATCAGGATTTGGTTAAGGGGTGTAAGAGACCCCATCTGGTCTCCAGTTACCCCTCCAGAAGGGTACAAATCTCTTAACCACTCTTCATCAGCTGTGTCCCAGATTCTGTTAATCACAACACAATATCATACTGGCCTTGATGAATACAAAATTTTGGGTTGAAATATATAGGAAAAAGAAAAGTATAATCTATTTGCAAAATAATAACTGGGTTAAACACTTCAAAAATATTCTCCCACCTCTAGAAGGCAACATGGTGCATTGTGGATAGGGATGTGTAGCTTAGAACACAACCACAGACTCACAGAATCACTCAGGTTGGAAAACACTTCAAGGATCATTGAGTGCAACCTTGATTATCATGTTTTTGCTAAAGACAAGGGATCCTCTGGGTGATTTAGTAGCTCTGCTTGGGAATTGTGCAGATTTCACTGCTCCAAGTCTGCAGGACACGCTGTGGCTGTACAGCACCATGATCAACAGCACAGCCCACCACAATGCACTGGCACTGTGTGTTCCACTTCTGTCCCTTGCCTGGACAGTCCCAGGGCACAACATTCCTCGTTCCACACAGATCTCCTCAGCTTCCAGTGACAGTGGCTCTTTTTACAACAATCTCATGGCTTTTCAAGGCCTGAAATTGCCAAAAATGCTGATCAGTTTCCTTTCGCTTTCTCCCAAGTGACATGAAGCGCAGTTCGAGATTAGCTGACTCTCTAAACAGTTTTGTGTGGCAGAGGAAAGTAATTAAATAAGTGTTAAGAGTAGGATTTTCCAAATGGCCTGAGGTGGTGGAGGTTTCCAGGCAACACTGGTCTTGACTGGAAGTGGGGGCCTACATCCCTTTAATTTGGTCATAAATCATGGCTTGCCAAATTTTATCAAGTGTCCATTTGGTTGATTTCATTACTGTGAATGACATTAACACGATCTGGATTGGGATGCTTTTTTAACATTTGGGTATGGAATTCCTCCACGCCATCATTCCTGTGCTTTAACATGTTTTGTGTGTTTATAAATTGGTGGAATTACTCTCTCATTAAAAGGAAATTGACAGCAACCATTTATTTTCATAGGACTATACATTACATTTGGAAGGCAAGTGTTTATGTTAGAACATATGTTGGATTGCTTATTCAAAAATTTGTGTTTTGTCCAGTGCTGAACTGTTTATTGATTTTCAAAGCCTAATCCTCTTGTTATGTTCTGTGTATTAAAACTTGCATGCCTTGCTCATACCATGGATTCTTTTGTTTGTTTGTTTATTTAATGCATGTTAATGGAACAGAAGAAATTCATTAAGGCCAGTTTGGATAAATACAATTTAAATGAATATGGGTTTCAGTTGCACTGAAGTATAAACTGCTAATGGGTTTCAGATGCTGCTCTAGCTCGATATTGTAATTGCTACTATAAGCTTTCTAAAGAAAACCTTGTTTATTATACCCACATAGCTGGTTTGGATAAGAAAAAAAGAGAGAAACCCAACCTATTCCTGGTCAGAGACATAGTTCAGAGTTAGCACATCCAGGCTGGTTGGCAAATTCTGCTGACACCGTGCTTGTGAAACAGATTGCATCGCAAGCTGCTTCAGCTGCATTTTGCATCATTTCAGTGTTGCTTTGTTAAGAAATGCTAAGCTTCTAACACGACTGTCAGTGGCAAGGCCCTTTGAAATGTACTTTCACTTGTCTAAAATGGACAAATTTTGTTGCCCTACCTCACTTTTGCAAAGTTCACAGCAGACTGTTTTCTTTTTGCGGTGGAATTGGCAGAGAGTGAGAAAAATACGACAGCAACATTTTATGTCTTAGCGTAAAATAATCATTTTAAACTCATTTGAAGCAGAATGATGACAAGGATGTATTTATGGACCTTTTCACTGTTCTTGCAGTTGTTTTGCCCTCTGCTTGTATGCAGTGTAACAGCAAGCTAATAAGTTTCCGTTGTGCATTTCCCCAAATGCTGCAAAGGGATGATATGGTTTGGCACGGGCCCAGCTTGCTCTAAACTTCTCCATTTTGTGTGGGCTCATTCCATAGCAGGGAACATTTAGTTGCAACATAATGCTGTGAGAACAAGCCGAGTGTTACGCAAGTGAAAGCTGTTTGTGCTGAACTTTGGAGATTAGTTTCCTAAATGAGCCCTGTATTATTTCCCCATCAATTGTCTGCGCTGAATGACATTAGGTAACAATTAAACCATCCATGGAATGGCATTCTGCCACTCACATGAGGGAAAACACGACACATTACAATTATCCCTGCTCTTTAGGGTTTTGTGAGGCAGTCCTGGAGAAGGGGGACAGAGCAATAGCTGCCTCCTTGAGCCAGGTCTCATAAGCTCTTGGAGGTCTATTACTCACCCAAGATAGCTCAGCTACCTTTGGAGACATAAAATCAGCAGGATGGCTTCTGTTGCAGAGTTGGAAACAAAAAGGTTTAATAAAAGGCAAAATAACAAACAGAGAAAAACCAAGCCAGGTGCAAGAGGTTTTTGCTCCTGGTAAAACACCTCAGAAAAGCGATTAGTTTCTTTGTTCTCTTCTTTTTCTAGTAAATTGCTCAGGACTTTTTGGCTCCTGTCCAATTGGCTATCCTTAAGTTTGAGGTGAAGTCTCCCAGGCCTATGAGGTGTCTTTTCACCTAATCAAGGAGAGAAACTTCTGGGCTTCTTTCTTTTTTGAGGGGACAAAGGAGAGTTTTGTCTGTAGTTCTGTCACATTCCTATGTGGGGACCGGCTAATAAAAAGAATTAGGAGCCAACATCCCAACATTTCCTAACGGGGTCCTTGGGGATGAAGCAAAATAGAAACCTGACCCAAGAGTCCTTTCTGATAAAAAAGAATTAGTAACAAGTGTCATGCAAAATCAGTGGAATGAAAGGTGTATGCACCTATTGTGAAATTGCATGCATATATATTTATGAAAAAGATAAAAAGAGATCTAGAGTTCCCAGAGATACACAGAAGAACAATTCCTACACGTGTCCAGCACTGCAATAAACATACCAGCTTTACAACTTTCACAAAAGCTGCAAAGTTGTGTTTGTTTCCACAAATTGGGGCAAGCCCGCGCAAGCGATCCCTTGACGTTACTGACGTTCCCGCTCTGTTCCTCCCCGCAGGCAGCGGGCAGATCCAGCTGTGGCAGTTCCTGCTGGAGCTGCTCTCGGACAGCTCCAACTCCAACTGCATCACCTGGGAGGGCACCAACGGCGAGTTCAAGATGACGGACCCCGACGAGGTGGCGCGGCGCTGGGGCGAGCGCAAGAGCAAGCCCAACATGAACTACGACAAGCTCAGCCGCGCCCTGCGCTACTACTACGACAAGAACATCATGACCAAGGTGCACGGCAAGCGCTACGCCTACAAATTCGACTTCCACGGCATCGCCCAGGCCCTGCAGCCTCACCCGCCGGAGTCGTCCATGTACAAGTACCCCTCGGAGCTGCCCTACATGAGCTCGTACCACGCGCACCCGCAGAAGATGAACTTTGTGGCTCCCCACCCCCCCGCCTTGCCCGTGACGTCCTCCAGCTTTTTTGCTGCCCCCAATCCCTACTGGAATTCGCCGACTGGAGGGATCTACCCCAACACCAGGCTGCCAGCTGCTCATATGCCTTCTCATCTTGGCACCTACTACTAAAGTGGGGTAGAGGGGGAGATAAACACCAGGCAAAGCAAAGGAGCTTCTCACTGGGGTTCGGTCCCTGAGGAGTCACAATGAACTCTGTTGGAGTACTCGAATTAAAAGTGCCTAAAGAGACAAGTGAAGGTTTGGCTGGGAAAAAAAAAAAAAGCAAGCCCAAAACCACGTTAAAAATAGATGTCAAAAAGACTTTTTTGTAGTAGGGATTTAAAGGAAATATCCAAGAAGTATTAAGATACTAAAATGTAATGTATATGGGCATCGACTCTGTGGACCAAACAACAAAAGACTATTGTAGGTAGAAGCATGGAATGATAAGGAAAACCTACGGAAGCTGGTGGTCTTAAAAAGTTGATAAGCTTGTGTGTAAAGTTTGATATCATGCTAGTGCAAAACTGGGACTATACTACAGCAATATAAGGATAAGTCTATAGTGACCTAACATACAGTATATGGATCATTACAAAAGAGAGGGAAAAGGGAAAAAAAAAAAGGAAAAAAAAAAGCCTATCTGTATTTAAAAAATAGAAACATATCAGCAGAAGAGACTGGTTAGTGTGGAAGCTGATTTGGAATAGAGCAGCAGTGTTGTGGTTAAAGTCAAAGGAGATCCATTCATCAGAGCGAATCAGCTACTCAAACTGTGAAGAAAACCCAAACTTTCAGATTCCTTGACAGTTTTACAGGAACCCTGAGCCAAACGTGGGAAATGAGAATGTGCTGGAGGGCAAGTGTATGATTGTAGATCAGAGGCCTGCACCTGGCAGAGGAAGCAGGAAGGAGAAGGAGGAGGATGAAGGTGTTGAGATGGGAAGGAAAGAAACTTCTTGACCAGTAGAGACTGAAAAGACTGAAAACTTTGTAGTGTTGGGACTATGAAGAAACACTTGTTTGGACTTGTGAAACATATTGCTCAGTATTATACCATTCCCAGTATTTCAGGAGGAACAGACTTGATTCAGTAGTAATAAAAAGTGGGAAAAGGGAAAAAGCAGGAGGAGGAGTGAGAAATCAGAATATGCATCTCTTTTTTTTTTTTTTTTTTTTTTTTTTTAGGGAAAAAAAAACCAAAAGCAAAACTGGAATTGTGTCTGATATTTAAAAGTTACCAGTTGGAACCTCATCATTACTAAGGGAGTTTGTTTTCTATTGGTTAGAGCAAGAGACAACCCCTGACTGCCAGAATCAGAAATCACCTGAGTATTTTTGTTAGGCGGGCGCCAGTTTTTCTTACCGAGTCGCGAACGCTGTGCGTTTGTCAGAATGAAGTATACAAGTTCAATGTTATTTTTTTTTTTCCTTTTTATATAATTATTATATAACTTATGCATTTATACACTACGAGTTGATCTCGGCCAACCAAAGACACACACACACACAAAAAACAAACAAACAAACAAAAAAAAAGGGACAATCCAGAAAAAAAACCAAACTATCGTGGCCTTGAACTTTAACTCTGTATGCTTAATGTTTACATTATGAACATATTAGTCCTTAGATTGCAGAATGTATGTAATAAAATAAGCTTGGCCTAGCATGGCAATTTCAGATTGACACTGTGGTTTGCATTTGTGTTTGCATTTTTTGTGTGTGACACCCATGCCAGATCTGCTACTCACCAGGTTAAAATAGGCCAGGATTTTTGGGCTGTGAAAATGAAGGAGCAAACAGCCTGAGTTTAAAGTGCACAGGTGCTGTGCATCTTCTTTTCCAGACAGATCTGCTGAAACACTTCCAGCCCTTCTTCAACAGTGCCTTGCCATCCCTGTGCTGAGCTTCCCTGGCCCAGAGATTGCAACCATTCCCAATTAATTCACCGACAGCTCCACGCCCAAGGCTGGAAATGAAGCCTAAGGGAGGCCTCTAAGGAAGAGTATTTATGCTCAGAAATTATCTTTTGTTGTCATGAAGTTATGCTGCAAAATCTCAGCTGAGATGTATCTTCCTCCTGAATCGTGTGTTGAATTGCTTTGCCCCCTTGCCCTTAATACATTCTGTATCATTATTAGTAAATAAAGTGAATAATGAGTAATTTCCATTATTCCCCACTTTAGAATGGAGTGTACGGCAGCCTTGTTCATTTGTCACTGCAGCCCATCCTGGCTGTTTACAAAGGGCAGGGTTATTAATTTTTCTCTTCTAGCTTTAGAGGCTTCCCACTCTGTACCCTGGGCCCCAAAACTGCATCTGGTGCCTACTGGCATAAATCCATTCTTTCCCAACACCATCTGAGGAACTGGTCTGGAAAATCATCCCTGACATTTATGAGTGTCTCTCCACAGTGTTTGCTGCAGGAATCCCAGACAGCTCAGCCCCCTGTATCCCTCCTTTTTGCTGTTCTTTTGTGTCCTTTTTCCTAGACAAAATGGGTGTGGTTTCAGGTTTTATAGATGTTCTGCATATCCATTTTTTGGGGAGCAATGGGAGCCAACTCACCGGGCTTTTTGTTAGGAGTGTCTTGGTGGCAGTTTATAAGCACAGGATTGTGTTACCAATGTGTGAGACCTGAGCAGGGAAATAAGAATAAGCACTCCTCTAAGTGTGTATTTCTAAAAAAAAAAAAAAAAAAAGAAAAATATTAACTGTTGGAAAAGGTCAGTTGTTATTTTAGAAAGTTGTGGAGTTATGGCAGGCACACCTACGTGTGACTATAAAGGTAATAATTTGCCTTTCAATGGAAATAAATCCACAGATCCTCACTTTCTGCTTCATGTGTACTTCCAACCCAAAATGGTAAGTGTGTTTTTGAACCAGCTTTTAATGAAACACTAAAAATCCAGATTTAAAGAAGCTCTTTGTTTAGATGGACATGCCTGGAGGCCTCCAAAGCATCCCCAGTGCTCCCGGGGCTGCCTGCAGGATTTCCAGATTGTGGTGCCTGGCTGCTGTCCTGTGCAATGGGAACAGCATCCTGGCATAGGGATCCAGATCCTGGGACAGGGATGGAGCCAGAGCAGATGGAGCCTCCTCATGTCAAGACCAAAATCCTCGAGCTGGCCATCGTGGGAAGGTCACTGGTGACCCATTGCAGAGCTACACCTTCCTTCAGGACCTGCTCCCTGCCTTCCAGGAGCCTTGGAAAACACAGATTTGGCAAGAGGGGAGTGAAGGATGGAGAGACCCTGCTACTGCTGCCTTGGGGTTATTTGCAGGCTCTCCCTGTGGCCATGGCAAGGGATGAGTGTCCACCATGTCCACACCATGAGAGATGTTGAGTGAGGCTCAGACAGACCCCAAAACCTTGGCTGGATCTTCTCTTTGCCATTTAGCACCTGGACAGCACAGCCCTGATTTGCAGAAACTGGTAATATTAATAACTTATTAATAACTATTAAGTGTCTTTCAAAGTCAGTTGTCAGCCAAGCTGCAAAGTTTACCCAGATTCCAGAGTCTGTACTTGGTACCCCAGATTCCACAAGCCTTTTGAACTGCCCACGGATCATCAGGGATTCAGACTTTCCTTCTGCAAAATTTTCTGCTTCAGACTATTTCTTGCCCCAGCTAAAATATAATTTTCAAATAAATTTTTCATTGCATGTGCATGAAAGGTAGAAGAAACCGCTTTACCTATGTCATATGATTAGTCATCTCATTATCTTTTTCTGTGCCGTCTTCTCAAGTTCTGGTCACATTAGGAAAATAGTCTCTGATGATCTAAATTGCTGGTCAGTCAGAAGGGCACCTCATCCATCCAAAAGGTTTGGTTAATTCCTGAATTTTACCTCCTGATGCAACACAAATCCTTCATTCCCTCTGTGGGCAGTGGTGGGAACACTTGGATATCTTCACAGCAGATCCTGCCTGGCTCTGCTGCTGTCCCCTGGGTGCTGTGATCTCTCCTTGGAGGCCCTGGCAGCTGCAAGGGCATCAAAGCATGACCCTGCATGAGCCCTGCCTGAGGAAAGGTTAATGAGAATATTTTGAGATGGTTTATGAGGATATTTGGGCCAAGTGGAATGCAGAAAATTATTTCAAAATTTAATTTTATGGTATCACAGAGTGGTTTGGGTTGGAAGGGAGATAAAGGTTCCAACAGGGACACCTTCAACTATCCCAGGTTGCTCCAAGCCCCAGTGTCCAACCTGGACTTGGACACTTCCAGGGATCCAGGGGCACCTTAGGCCAGGGCCTCCCCACCCTCACAGGGAAGAATTTCTTCCTAATATCCCATTTAATCCTCCTTTCTGTCAGTTTGAAGCCATTCTTCTTGTCCTGGCACTCCAGGCTCTTGTAAAAAGTCCCTCTCCATCTTTCTTGTCAGCTCCCTCCCCAGCATCTTTTTAAAAGGGCACATATTTTCAAGAAAACTAACAAAACACCCAGAGTTCTTTGGCCAGGAATTGATGAGATGTCCTTTTAAATCACTGGATTGAGGACTTCTCAAAACCAGGCTCAGAAAATGTTGGCTTTGCATGCCAGAATATTGGTCCATATATATTTTATGAAAACCTAAGGGGCAGAATAATTTTCTGTGCCCAGTCCTAGAAGCAGTGAGGAATTCTGCTTGGGAAACCAAATCCATCCATTACAACATTATAACAAAACTATTATAACAAAACTATTACTATGATATTATTATAACAAAACTCAATATAACAAAACTATTTTCTACTGTACATTTACTGATGCTTCCTTAACCTTCTCCTTTGAAATGGTCTCAATTCCAGGGTATTTCTACCCATTCCCGTTACACAGAGCCCAACACATCTCATTGTCAAAAGGAGGTGGGTAGTTTTGTGGGTTTTTTTTTTTTTTCTGCCATTTCTGTATTTTGCAATTCCTCGCCCTCCAGAGTTCTTTGCCTGCCTCAGTGTTTACAGCTTTCCAAATATTTGTGGTTTGTTATCACGCTCCCTTTGACTGGGTGTTTGCCAAGCTTTGACATATTCCACTTCACAAACCTATCCCTCTTCTTCTCTGACAATTGTTAATGTGCCCTTTTCCTTTTTCTTTTTTTTTTTTTTTTGGTTTTTTGTCTTTGTCTCCCCTTCATATTT